GCAACTCCAAAATATATGATAGTGGTCCGCCAGCGTTCTCCACGCTTCTGCCAACACAAACCAGTCGTTTCACCTGTGTGTGCATACTTTAACATGGGGGTTATAAAATATCTTTATAGGTTCTGCCAGCAGAATCCTCTCCAAGCACCTGAGCTGGTGGAGGTCAACTGCATCAGACACAGTCTGCCAATCATCCTCTGAAATGGAAAACTCAGACTCTTTCTCATACTTGCATTTCGATTTATTACTTGCATGTTTTTTCCACTGACTTGATATTTGAATATAATCTTGAAACAAGTCTCTTATTTTTGTTAATAAATTATTAAATTGGCGTCCTTTGTATTTCTGAATTTTATCTTGTCATTAGAGGAAATGTTAATGTGGAAGTGTGAATATTATCCCATCTATAGGTTTCCTAGATTTTCGGTAAGCTATGTAATCATCCACGCGATGAGACTGAACCGTAGGAAGTTATACCATTTCTACTATTTAAACCTCTAATCGATTATTCCTGGTGTGAAATAATTTCATTTTAGTATTAAACCTGAGTGGATAGGCCATACCCTGCCTATCTCTGAATTCCTCATTAACCCTCTGCAGCTTGCCTTCACTTCTGTCGGTGTGTTATTTTAGCCAAACCTAGTGGAGAGCCACTTCTGGAAAGCTTCTGAAACACGCTGAAGTGGAATCTCAAGCATCCACCATCAGCTCCAGGAGACTCTTCCAAGCTGCAATTCCACAATGCAGCCACGCTCGCCAGGATTCAGATAACAATCATTCGTTATATATACTCTATCATTTGTCTGTTTTGAACAAGCAGCCATTTATAAACAGCATGCATGCAAGCATACTGGGGGGTCCAGTACTGGCTCAAAATTGCATTAATTAAAAGCTAGAATCACAAAACACTTGCATTCCCGTTCTTTTACTGGAAATATTTCCAATTCAAAACTAGGTCTTGTTTTCCAGCCTTAGTCTTACTGTGTAACCCCCTCCACTCTCAACACCACTTACAACAACACACACATACACACAGCCTCTGTTTCCTTTTCACCAAGCCCACAGCGTAAACGCTGTAAATAAGCAGGCTCCTATCGACACCGGAGGCAGGCTGCTATAATAAAACTATTCCAGTTTTTATTGAGGTGTAAGCTCTGTTGGCGTGAGTAAACAGATTCTCCCTGGCATCAGCACTTCTCCCCAGTGCACAAACCCTGCGTCTAAGCAACTGTGAGCTTAGTAACAGTTGCCATGGAGACACATTCTTGTCAGCTTGGCCTGCATCGAGGGTCAAAGGAGCGAGAGCGGCGGCGAGATATTGTGATATGTGACAGAAATGATGATATCAAGGTTGATACAGTGCTGTGTAATGCACATTAGATAGAAACAACACAAAGAGGGAATATCAGAGATAATGAAAGAAGAGCAGCAGGTCCACTGTGGCCTCCATGAAATATTCTATGACTTGTCTTTGACTTTCCTCAACTTCATCAGAGCTTTCATTTATTCCCTCCAGGTTCATTAATGCTGTTCTTCAACTCAGCAGAAAATGTTATAAAATTACAAGCAAGTTTCAACACTTTCTGTCTGGGAAAACTAGAAGGAAGCCAACTAACATGTGAAATACATTCTGGTGTTTTGGGTCTGCGCTGGACTTGGATGTTATATCGTTCTGGATGTCGACCAGCAAGCCGCAGCATCTACTGCGGGAGGAATTCTGGACTACAGTCTAGACAGGCTTGGCTGGCCCAGGAAGAAACGGCACAGCCAGGCACGAGGCGCGATTACCCACACACACATTCACTGTTTTTCACACTTTACTACAGTCTGTCACTCTGAGCCGAAGCCAAAATGAGTGGCCAAGGTAAAAGAGGAGGAAAAAAGAGAGGGGAAACTACTTGGAAGTTAATAACAGGAACACAATGCTGCACTCATGCTGTCCTCCTCAGCTGACGACAGGATTTAAGAAAGATGAAGAGAAGTTTTGAAGGATTCTTTTTTTCCCTGATGCTCAAAATACCTTTAATTTACCTGTTAGAGACAGAGCGGCACATTAGGTACTTTGCCTATGTGTTGCATGTGCTAAACTGCACAAATGTCAGGCTAACAAATCAATACAGATCCAGATTTTTTTTTTCAAATTATGCCTGTTGGGCCTGAAAAGGCAAGAGAAAAAAAATCACACCAGCAATAAGTTTGAAATGACACATCAAGCCGAAGCTTCTTAGCAGTCTAAGGATACACCTGCAAGTGATTAACAACAAGAAATTAGCACTCACTGTATAAAACCACGAGCCAACACCTTTAAAGCTCATGTGGAGATAAATTAAATTGTAAAAGAATCTATTTTGAGTTGCCTTGCTTTATGACATAGTGTGAAGGGTAAAATATACATTCAACTTTAAGTTTTCATAACCTTCAGCATGATTAGCGCAGCAGGCCTGGTAAACGATAAACTACAGTAGACTGAAAGATTGCACTAACTGCTACTGCATTGGTAGGAGTGGTAGAAGAAGCACAGCACAGCAATGACAGCAGGCCAAGCATGTCTGATAGTGAGAGCACCATGTCAGCCTCCAATGACAATTTAGTAACTACAGGGGGAGCCACTACAAAAGCACTAGAAGAGTAGATGGAGATAATTATTGTGGCGGAAAAGGTTTTAAGCAAGTGGTTAAAAGCTTGAAGCCTGATAGAAAGAGATTAGAAGATATTTTTCAGCTTTATTCTGTATCATTACTGTACATTAAGAGTTACAAGGTTAACTAAAGTGTTTAGCGGTTCTGTTATACTTTTACTTAACGTTTCCAGGGAAAACACTACCTAGGCTAGTTTTGTCCTTATATTTGACGTAGAATAGCAAATGTTTCTTTTTTATTCTCTGGGATTAATTCATGAATGATTTCATCAATAAAACGTATCTAATCAGCACTCTAATAATTACCACTAAGGCACACAACATACACACCTATTTAATTATTTAGCATTTATCTCATAGAGCAGTACTGGGAAAATTACCGCTCTACCTTTGTGCCATCATGTAACAAAATCAGCAGGAATATATGTCAGTGAGAGAAACCTGTGTTTTGTAGCTATTTTGAAATAAGTGACAATGCTTCTGTGGGCGCTCAGGAGTCAGCAGCACCCACAGAGATACTGCGAGAGAAAGAGGAAGAACCGTAATGTGGTCAATTAAAATTCAAGAATCCTTAACTGCAGTACTTGGTATTGTTACTTTGTTTTGTTGTTTTTTACTAATTGACCTCTACCTCAGTACTTGTATGTACCTCAGTATCGTAAAGTGATATATTGTAGTTAACCAAGGCCACTGCAAAATTACTTCGCTGCTAACAATAACAGAGCTGTATGAGCCCGTTATTCAAAGCCCCTTGAATTTGCCATTTGTCAACTCTGTTAGGTCAAAATGAAGTGACCCATTGTTTTAAGGCATCCAGTGAGCTTGCAACTTTTGCAACGAAGACCATCAAGGCCTTAAGAGTATCTGCATGTGGGAAGTTCAGAACTGAAACTTAACTTTATAAACGAATGGGCACATAAAGAGGTATGAAGAAAGCTGCGTGAAACAAAATACTTGATCTAAGAACAGTTTCCAGAGACGGCAATAACTCCAGGTTATGGATAAAAGCTTAACATTCGTTCAGAAGTAATATTTTTATTGTAACTTAATGCTAACTTCTGAATGGTGTATTTTTCCAACCATTAAAAAGGAGCACTCTACAAGAAACATTCAACTGTCAGCAGCAACACTTTGCACTGTGGGCTAAATTTACCTTTACTCAGCCTTCATCACTTTAAGATTAACTTCATTTGTTTGATTATTTAAATGTAACCTGTTAAGTTTAGTCTTAGCTTCAAACTCATTAGCTGGGGTGGTCAGTCACCTGGCTAATATTAAAATAATAAGGGACAAGCAGAGAAAACGAGGACAACAGAGCACTATTTTCCAAAATACAAGAAGTGTGAACGCACTGTGTGAACAAATGTAACGTTAGAAGTTTGCACTGTGTCAAAAATAGCCTAATGTTTTCCTAAAGCCACAGACCAAAGTCACCAAGCAGCTCTACTGCAGACACCAACACACTTTCCATGTATAAGACACAGGCAGGCATGCACAGGAGCCACAGCAACTGCTCTAAATTCTTCTAGGAGGTTATGTGACCCCGTCACAGGTCATCAAGCAGTTTTATATACATCACACCTGTCCACCTCTCCAACTGGTATCTTTGCAAACTGGTATCCTTGCATACTGGTATCTTGTCTTTCAAGACACTCTGGGAGTATAAGCTGCACTTTTTCTTTGTTTGCAGATTTGTTTTTTTCCCTTACAAACTAGGTGAGCAGTCAAAGTAAAGGATTGGCTAATTACTTCTACAGGTAATCAATACGACTGTAAAATATCATCAAGTGATTTCACTTTCCCTAAGCCCCACAGTAAAATCTTCACATTGCTTGTCCTGTCCAATCATGAGTCTTACAGCCAATACAGATTACTTCCACATGTGGCGAAAGAAGGCATCGCGTCCATGTACTTGGAAAACTTCAAAAAGCAGATATGGCAGGTCCTACATGGCAAATAGCTGGTGACTCACAGTTTATCAAAAATATTTGTCAATTATTTTTCAGCTGAAAAACCAAAGGATTGAACTGACACATTGTTCTAGGTCAGAAACAGTGAAAGAGACACTTCTGATATGTTTGGAACAATTTTGGATCATTTTTTTATCCTGTGCACACATTTAGCCTCCATTTGCTTCTTGTTGAATGTTGAGACATTTATAAATATTAACGCTTGAGTCAAATGACTAATAACATTTATTTTGATGGAAATGCAGTCGTTTGATTAATCCGATTTCTGAACTTTTCCTCTCCGAAATCTATTAGTCACCACAGAAGCTATGTTTAACAGGTGGATGAAACTGTTATTGAACTATCTTCATAATTTAGTTTGAGCCAGTAATCCAGTCCAGGGCGGATCCTACCTGAGACAGCCGGAGGTGTTCTTGAACACGGTGGTCCACTCTGCATCACGCGGCTTTGAGTCCTCATTGGGCTCATGCTCCCAACCCGAGTGGGGGATTATCACCTCGTTGGTCAGGGTTTGCAGGCCGTGGTTGATGATCACCATCTTCAGGGGTTCATAGGATGACAGATTCCACAAGGTTCCTGCAGGGGAGCACAGATGGGAGGAAAATGCAGAGACGAATTAAGAGGATAGCAATAAGTTGGTTAAAAAAGAGGATTATGAGAGGAGAAAGAGAGGATATACGAAGGAGGCGTATATACATGCACATATATCTGCAAAGAGAGAGAACATTTTAAAAAGAGATGGTGTGAGGGTGGTGTAGCTGACAATTTAAACACAAGAGAATGAAAGAAGGTGAAGCTTGACAGGAATGATGTAGCAAAACAGGCAAAAAAAAAAGAACAGAACAGAGAAACTGTGCACACAAACTGAAAGTGATGCGATTTAATAACAGCCGTATAACAGAAAAACAAAGGAGCCTACTGTCCAGGCTTTAAGACTGCAATCAGAAACACATTTAGTTTGGCAAAAAATATGTTTTAGAAAAATAATAGAAGACTGGGTGTTCATTATCCAGGCATGATACCAACGGACCATATTGCACTGTATAAACCCCCCCACTGTAATACTTTTATTATTCTTCCATGAGAACATAGCTGACTGCTACTTTGCTGTAATAAATACAAAGTTTACAGCAGCCGTATCGCTGTGATATTTCTATAATATCCTCATATGTCAACAGCAATATTAGGTTCACAGCGTTCTTACAGTACATCATGTTATTTCTCAGCTGTTGCACGTAATGTGCCGCTCGGATCTCATGTCCTGCAGATATTGTGTGTGTATTGGATCAGGATAAATGATCTGCTTCGGCTTTTCTATCCAACAGCACACACATGCACACCCCGTTTCAATCATCCCTGTCCTCCATTATCTTTCCCAAGAAATCCAAGCAGGAGAAAGAGCATTTTCTAGGTGGCTGCAAATCTCACTAACAGCCAGCCAATTTTATACTTCAGCAAAAGAAAAAAAAGTAAACTAAATTGAGCTGGGTATGTGCATCCCAGGGCTTCACAAAACAGAGGCAGGCACACAAAGAAAAGAGGAGGGGAATTTTTGGGAGCACAGCCAGACAGCCAAACCCACAGAAAAATAAAATGCCGTGTTAAAGCATCAAGCATCAGATGGGTTTTTCACTCAGACACATGGAAGCTGTGAAGCGAGGCAGCCAGTTTGAGGAGAGGAAAACACTTTAAAAGCAAAAAAAACCCAAAACAAAACCCCCCAAAACCTCGCTCAAGCCCATGTTGGACACGTTCCTGAGTTGTTGTTTTCATCAATCCAGCCCTCAGGTCTCTGTTTCTGCTTCTCATCATTTATCACACCCTTTATTTTCCTCTTTCACAATTTGGTCCTAAAACCCTGTGCCTATGCAGCAGCAACTTAATCCATGCATGCTGGAAAAGCTCTTAGCAACTTGCATTTGCATTGTACTTGTGAACGTGTAAGTACAATGCTTATTCACTTCCGGGTTATCTATATGAGCCTTTTTAGTATGTTTTCTAAAGGAATGTATGGAGGTTTATCATCATCATCAGCTGTAGCTTCACAGCTATAGGTAACAACGCTGTTTACGGTGTCTAAGTCCCACCTTAGTTTGGCATTTTGTTTTTAAAGCCAAGTGACATGCCTAGCATGCCTCCATGAATGCAGAAACTGCAGCCGGATAAGTGCCAACTGTGTTGACGGATGAGCCAAATTTGCCAGCTGAACCACAGGAAGAAACGTTCTTTTTTTTCTCGAGAAAAAAAACGTAGCAGACACCTGTCCTTTTTTATTTCATACAATATCACCGGCTTCCTTGCGAGCGTCCCCACCCCACCCCTCTCACTCCAATCTGGTCCACAGGACTAACAGCTGGGGGCTAAGATTAAGATTAAGCAAATATTTACACACTCGCACATGCCAAAGTGCTCAGAGACTCGCAGCTTTTGCACATATAAATGCATTCATATAGTTCTGTATTCACATGCGCCCAGAGCGTGTGACTCGCTCTCGTCCCATAAACAGGCCATTAGCAGAGCAGTGAAGCCGTCATACTTCCTGGCACACTTATTTAAAATGGTTTCTGTACATTTTCCAGACGGTCAATATTTCCTCTGTTAAATCATGGTCTCCACTCTCAGCGGACAGATCTGAGCTAAAAATACTTCCAGTCCCTCTGATGTGGTTCTGCCTTGTTTGACCGTTTCCTTTGAAATGTTAAAAAAAACATAATGTAACTAAAACACTTAAGCGGCGCTCTTACAAAACAGTAAATCTTAATTTAGTTCATGACCTTCTTCCGCTCTGCTTTGCCATCACGCACTACCAAGTTAAGGAATCCCTGTGCGTGTGCGCGGGTGTGTCTGCAGCTGGATTGCTGGTGAGGAAGCGCGGTGTCGAGTTTAAAGTCAGTTGAATTTTTGGCGTCTCGCAGTTTCTAAATAAACCTCCACTGAATGTAGCATACATTTTTGCTGATGCTAACATGTCTGTGACATCGGCCACTGAAGTGGAAACACCGGAGCTCCACTCGCTGTTTTTTCAGTTGGTGACTAGACTAGACTTCCTGTGCGTCAGAGACCACCAGGGTGGGATGCTATTAGATGTGGAAGCTGGGGTGTGGCTCCACACAAGGGATATTGTGATTATTTCTTTCCTGGGAGGGAGGGTGCGCATCGTACGATCAGCCGTGACTCTACCTAAAACACTCCACCTGACTCACAGCTTGTCGGGAGCAGGTCACGTCCTGAGAGTAAACACAGCCTTACAGGCTAAATTCAGGGAAAAATATCCCGTTGAGCATTAAATCACCAACGCTCAGGTAATTACATTGTAGAAAGAAAAGCATGTTTAATTTTGAGCTTCAGGTGTTTACTGTAAATTTCATACCTCTACAAATTCAATATTGATTTTTTTTTTTTTTTTTAAACAGGCACTTTCATGGTACGTTTAACTTGGTGCAAAACAAGCTGAGATTTTACTTTAGCATATGGATGTTCTTCCATCAGCAAAACTGAAGCTGTGATCGGAAGAAAATAAGTAAATAGTGCAGTGCTCGCAGCCGCAGGTGTGTTAGCATCAGCAGAGACAGATGTCACAGTCGGTGGAAAATCATTTATCATTTTATCTGAATTTTGGCCTCGTTATGAAGTCACAGTATCCCGTGGCACTATGTGAGTGTGAAACAGATACTGGCGCAGACGACGCTCACAGAATTTAGCACTACCCAACAGGGTAGCATTTCCATCTCATCTGCTTTTTATTTTTCCCCACAGGGTCAATTGTGTCACTTTCCCCAAACAAACACATTCGAGCATCTGAGAGGAAATCTCCGCATCCAGGCATGAATCCAATTAAAAGACAAACGTGCACTTGTGGTGTCTGTACTTTGGTATGATGACAGCTAGCTAACATTCATGCCTGCCAGCCTGACAGCTTGATTACTGCCACTGTTGTGTCATTAGCATCAGCTTTACTCGTGACAAGCAAAATGCAACATGCAATCAACTCACAATGAGTGATGGGATCTTAAGAAAGGCAAAGAAAACTTCTCACTGTGCTGTCGGTGTCCTAACAGAAATAAGTGGTGCTAATTTATGACTTTTGCAACGTGCCACAGAGGAGGAAGAAACAGACGGCACTTTAATAATATTCAGACAAAGTCTTGTTCATTCATTTCTATGATTCCAGCATCCAAGCCCGATGTGTATTCCCTGCTATAAGATAAATGGTGCATAATGCCCCTTATTTCAATGGTGCATATTTGTTTCTAGATTGCAGTCCATTTTTCAACTTGGCTGGAAGTGCATACGGCATACAGGCATCCCTGATCTGTCGTACCCAGGATGTTGAAAGACTGCTCTGTGCTTTAAAGTTACCAGATTCTTGCTCACCATACAAACTTTCTTTAGCTCCTTTGGTAGTTCACCGTCACCTTCAGTGCTCCAACTGAAACACTGCTCAGGCCGGTGGAATCAGTCAGCTCTGCACAGATCACATATGCCAGAGGGGAGGGAAAAGGCATGTCTTTGCCGTGGCTGTGATCCATCAAGTACGACAGGCATACAGCCCACTGACAGAATGTTATTTAAGATGACAGAGTGCTGTGGAAGTGACCGTCTCCATCCAGCATCCCGCCAGTGTTTCAGGCCAACAACTGTATCAGCTTTAGTCCATTTGCTGTCCTATGTCAGCTTGTCAGAGGTGGGCATGTTAGGGATGTACCGCTGTCTTGCAAGCCGGAGGCAGACACCATGCAATTGTCATGCCAAAAAGATCGAGTTCCCTCATAAACACTCATGTGTGTGTGCTGGTTATTTGATGCCATTCACACCTAAATTTAACAGGCAACATGAACAATATACGCTGTAACCAGACTTCTCTTCACAGCTAGAAATGAAGAACGCTGCACTTAGTTTGGATAGAAAAATCAGCTGTCAAAAATGCACTGCTGAGCTAAGAGTTTCGGTTAATTATTGTATTGGCGCACGATACGGAGCCACTTTAGAGCTGCAGTCAATTTGCATTGATCTAAGCCAAACTGTCCAGGTGATCCAAACCCCGAAAAGTGCACAAGTTTGAGTTTTTTTGTCTAACTTCTGCCTGAACTTTCCACGAACACAAATATAAACTGATTTTCATCTGTCTCTGGAGGTTAAGCAAACTCTTATAAAAGTCTTATAATAGGACACAAACAAAGAAAAGTATGAGGCATTGAGGTCACTAAAGTTTATATAAACAAATCTAAAAAGTAAAATATGGGTTAAAAAAATAAACAATAATCAAAGCAAATGTTGTAGTTGTTGTTAATTTGATCAAATTTTCCATCTCTCACATGTGAAAGTATGTATGCTTATTAATAGGGTGATATTTACCAATCCACCATCCACTTCATTGGGTATAAATGGTCAGCTGCTCGTTAACACAAATATCTAATCAGCCAATCCGCTGCACCATTCCCTGATCAATAAATGATCATATTAAAGTAATAAAAACACAAAAAACTTCCAAAGGAAATTTTTAAAAAGTGAGAAGAGCAAATCTAGGCTGCAACATAACTGAAAACAAACAGAGTTGAATGAATGCAAGTACCTAC